GGAATCAGGGTCAACTAAGGCTTTGGCTCTAACATCACAGATAGAGAACGTACCTCTGATCACCGAGGTGGATGCCTTGGCTTCTTTCCAAACCTCCCTGACGACACAACCTTCATCTTTCCTTCCTCAATTTATGATCCTCGCAGTCCCTTTCAATCTTTAGGGTGAGGTCTACCAATGGGGCGTAAGCCTTCAGGTTGGCCGACAGGACCCTTCCTCTGATACCCAACCGAAGGCCCCTCTCAAATTTGGCTGCCTTTCGTGCCTCAGTGTTAATAGTGTGGGGCGCGTACCTAGAGAGCTCTGCAAATCTGGTGGCGCACTGCTCCACTTCTTTTCTCTCCTTGACGGAGTCTGGAAAATACTTCTCATCGAAGGCTATCAGGAAGTTTTCCCATGTGGTCTCGGTTCCTGACTCTCTCCAAGATTGCTTCACCGAGTTTTACGAATATTCCGCCACTCCTTCCAGCATGAAGGCTCCTAATCTGACTTTCTGCTCATCCGAGCAGTGCAACACTTCCAAGATCTTCTCTATCTGCGTCTTTCACCTCTCAACTTTTTCTATTCCTCCTTGCTCCAAAAAGGTTGAGGGTGCTAGCCTTCTAAACCTCTGTATAAGGCTATTGTAATTCTGCTCCAGGGTAGGGGTAGACTTAGCTGGCATTGACTCTTTCATCATCGGGGTCATTGCCCCCAGAGTCCAATAAAACTCACCGAGCATCTCAGTGTTCTCATTACTGGAGCTCGCATTGTTGGCACGAGCCCTCGGCATATTCAACCGAGCACAAAAGCACCCAATCACTAATCTTCCCGAAAACTATTCCAAGGCCAAGAATCATATTCGGGCTGCTCTGATATCATATCTGTCACAACTCGCCCTCGACCCCCATACCGTACGTGATGGCGCGTGATCGAGTGCGGGTTCGTGATCCCAAAGTAGCATTTGTTAGTTAGGTCGGGGTGAACATAACACCATTATTTCGGTATCAAAGCAAACCATGGAAAGATAAATATGCCAGGTAATTCTAAATACAGGGGCAATTTATTAATTTAAAGCTCCATACAGTAACAAAAGGGCTTTACATAACATTCTTCAAAAAATATTACATTTAAGTCTAGGGCATCAGGGCCCAAAATTTACAAGTTCATGCAATAAACAAAATCTAGGGCTAGACTTCCCAACCACATACAAGATCTAGATCCTGCTACCGATAAGTCTGGCTTCAATTTCCTTCAAGAGTCCCCGCCGGTCCAACTCTTGACCTGTTGTTATCAGTCTACAAGGAAGGAAGGGAGAAATGGGATAAGTTATACAATCTAGTAAGTAGGTTTAAACGCTATGCATCAATAATGAGCCTACTCATGAATCATAAACAATTTATTTAACTATACGAAATTTCAGTGCAACAGTCATGAAAATCAGCGATCAGGTCAATGCATCAATTATACGCATTCTATCCATATAGTAGTTATCATTTAGTCGATTCAATCATCCGTATTCACAATTATTATTCAATCATTACCCACTCACTCTGTAGTTCACCTACTCCCTCAATAGAGGCCCTATCCATCGGGCTAAGCCAATCCCATTGCTTAAGACCTCTACCATATCCAAGGAGGGAGGGCAATGACAAGTGGAGAAATCCACTTCGTAATGCCCTCATATTCACACACACGGCCCCCAGTGCGCATTGAGGGTTCGATAGGCACTTACTTTGTAAGGTGTCAGTCACTAATCTCATCTTAGTAAATCTTTGCGGGTGCAACCCTCCCATTTCACTTTTCGCCCTAGCTGCATCCTATCAGTCAACAAGTTAGGGGGTATAGCCGGCATCACTTTCCTCAGTATAGCAGTCCTCACTACCGATGGGTGCCCCATCGCGTAGCGAGCAGTATCAATAAAACATTGGCCAGTATCATAGTATTATCATAGAGCAGTGTCCACTACCATTGGGCGTTCTATTGCATAGTGGTCATCATTGTGGCCTCATATTGTGCTCAAGCATCTAATCTCATTCGTGCTAAATCAGTGCATTATAACAGATGAATCAAATTTCATCATGCAAGAATGGAGTCTTAATTAGAATCGTCCAGCATTCACAAAACATTATAGCAGTTATCATGAAACATCCATTGCATGAGTTGTCACATAGCATTTACGCTTAGAAGTCATCGGTAGCAATTCGACACTTATCATGTAGCATTCATCATAGAGAAATCACATTAGCTTTGCACTTATCCATTTATCACATAGCACATAGTTGTGTAGCACCATCCATATAACACTATAGCATTCACATGAAAAACCTCACATAATGCTCGCATTTATCACTTATTAATGAGTAATCCCGAGAAAGGTTGCAGAAAATGAGCATAACACAAATTTTGTGAGGGGCAACAGTGACATATCCCTCTTCTTGGGACGTAATTCCCCAAGAATTTCAAAACACTTTAAACATGCAACTTCAAGTTCATGCCCGGGGGTTTAACATGGTAGTGATTTGAAGGAATTTGAACGACTTCTAATAGGTTAAAAGCTCGATTCAAAACGATTGAAAGTCGCTGGAATTTCTTGCAACAATGGGTAGTGACGTACCCACGCATTTCAGGGCATAACTCTCAATTTACAAAAAATATCAAAATCATCAAAACATGCAACTTTAAGTTTATACATTGATCTTCCAAATGGTGGCATTTTGAAGACGTTTGGACACCGTTTGATAGGCCAAAAGTGCGACACAAAAAAGTCACAGTTGCTGGAATTTACTGCAACTATGGGCAGTGATGGCCCAATATTTTTGGGCATATCCTTTGATCCATACAAATGTTAACATAGTATAAAAAAATAAACTTAAAATCGACACACGTATCTTTCATTCAAGACCGATTTGGCCCATTTGGGCACCGTTTGGTCAACGAAAAGTCCAAGGCAAAGGCCCTCACAATTGTTGGAAAATCCCTCTATCCCACATTTTAACATGCTGTCCAAATGATACATACCATTTCACAAGCCAAAAAAAAATAAAACCCATCACAAGCCCTATTCATGTGAGGCAATCTAAGCAAGCTTTACAAGGTAACTACTCTCTAAAGTTATCAAGTTCATTATTCAATGTTCAATCACTCATTCAAGCCCTTTTTATTCATTTATTCTAAAACACCTCATTCTATCATCTTGCTCTTCATAGCAACTTAAATTTAGGTCCTATGAAGTGAAATGATGCACAATATTAAACCTACTTACCTGGTGTTCACAATGTCTTCAATCTCCCACTCGCAGGCCACCCCAAGGTCTAAGCAATGGCTTCTCCAAGGAAGCAGTTAACTCCCACTGGTTCTAGAGAGAGAAAGTACAAGGGAAATGTGAGGGGAACGGTGGAAAAAGGGGAGGGGAGAGGCCTTAAGTACCTAGGGTAGGTAAATGTCATAGTAGCTGACGTGTACGGCTCCGACAGGTGCGACGCTGGTAGTGGTCACATCTTCCCTCTTCACCTTCGGAGTTAGCTCTTCTTAGCCTTCACACGGGACAATACCCCAGTTCACGCGCGACGATGCTCCAGAGGCGCTACACTCGCGACGATGCCTTTTGCACGCGGTGTTGTTCTTCCTTCTCTTTCTTCACAGTCAGCGTTAGGCCTCTTCCACAGATGGCGATGCTCATCCCTATCTTCACGTGCGGCGCTGACTTTTCACACGCGGCGTTGATTCTCTCTCTCTCTCTCTCTCTCTTCTTCATTTCACAACTGACACTGAGTCACAGACAACGCTAGG